AAACGAACAACAAAAGTAAATATCTTGCTAATGTGACGCCATTTACGATATGCATAAAGATGATTACATGTATGAATAATGATCTGTCCTAGAATAAGGGAACATTTATTGGCCTTAAAATGGTTATTTCTTACTTTCTACACTGTTTCATGGTCAATTTTAGAACAAAAGTAGATACTGCAAAAACATTGCCTTTTTATGAGTGTAAACATGTACTTGATAAATAATTTTAACATTCTATAGTAATTGAACGCAAATACGTCCACTAAAGCTCCACTCCATGTGTCATTAGCAGATTTCATACCAGTGGTACTAAATAGGTTCCTTCGACCTTAACTTTTGGATTCCAGTGACATTTGACTACAATTAGCAAGGAACGCCCAACCAGAGTCATCTTTCAAATATCTACAAAATTTGATTGAAAGAAATCACTGCATATCGTCTGTCTATAAAGTTTAAGAGGAATGGACAAAGGTTAGAAAAATAAGGGACGATATAATTTTTATCACTCGTTAAAACTTTTTTATGTTACACATTTTGTATTCTCAAGCTTTATGATGTCATATAAAAAAATTACATGTATGCATAATGCGTCAAATGAAAATTCAATAATTTTGTTAATAGTTGCTACTTAAAAAAACACTTCTGAATTATTTCATTCTTTATAGTGCATGGTGAAATAATCGGAGTAAGACAGCTGATGGGAAAGAGGGGTCCAAGATTTTTGTCCATGCCAGACACAGATTTTTTTAAATTCATTTGGGTGAGAAGTGGTAGAAGACACTTTCCTAAGTCAGTTTTATTCAAATACATATGACTCTCCTTACCGTTTTCTTAGGGTGTTCCATTTCTTACATAGAAATCTAATAAATCTCTGAAAATTCAAGGATGCTTGGACCCCTCCCCTCGTTTTCATGAGATATTAAGTCGTTTTCACAAGATAATATTTCGTTTTAACGAGATAATTTCTCGTTTTCAAGATACAATATCTCGTTTTCACGAGAAATTTTCGTGTTCACCAGATAAATTTTTCCTGGTATCTTAAAAAAAAAAAAATAATTACGTTTGCTTAATGTACCACCATGTCAAGAAATGAAATCAACATAAATTTTGCCGCTGATTATTTTGCCAAACACTTATAACTGTTAATTTCCAGTATATTGGTTTAATGAATGTCAACTGCGGTGTCATCATTAAGAACAGGAAGACAGAAATGAAAATGACAAGTTTCTTGACTCAGGAAATGTTTTAATAACAACACATATATCCGAGTAAATTACGTAATGTTCTTAGCGTAAATTTTCATAAAATATTTTTTTTTCGATTTTATGTCAAAAATTGAAAAGTGGAAAAGGACCTCCTTTCGATTTAATTGTTGTAAAGTCATTTAATAGAAATGACAACTTTTTCTTGGTGGTAAAAATTCTGGAAACATCCCTTTTATTGTTGAAAGAAAAAAGTTCTTGTACTTTGCAAATCGATTAATTAATACTGATGATTTGAAAGAACACCGAAGATTGCAAGTGACAAATGAACCAGAAATTTTTTGTGTCAAAATGACGATCAGAATGCTAAAATTACGATTTTACATGGATCATCGGATGATGAATACTAATCACATTATAAATTAATACTACATGTATAATACACGAAGTTTGATATTCATTCTATAAAGACCAACCTGTCACGAGCATAAATATGCACCATAGCTGTCATTACCCCCACAACCACAATATGGGCCAGACTTAGAACAAATGATCATGAGAAAAATACAGTATACGTTCTCTGTTATAAATTGTACACTGAAATAGAAAACCGAATATGATGTACATTATCAATAGTGTGTGGTTAATTTAAAGATGTATGCCATTTCTTTTTTGCTTCTAGAAATTATCCTTATGCTAAAAAAATAATCCATTTAACCGCCTGTTTATGCTTGATGAATTGGTAAATTGACAGAAATATGATATTATAGGTTGATGTAAATTTGCCTGTAAATATCAATAACAGTATTTTCAACTGCTGTCCATAAATTTGTTGATGAAACTTGTAGATTTTAAATTGCCATGCTATCTAACAAAAGTTCCATTTGCGCGTAAAACTCACAGTTTTGTGAATTATTTTATATGGCATATTGTTATATTTTAGGAGAGGAACCAGTAAGCTGTGAGAACTTGTTTCAAATCCTTTTGATTTATTCAGTGAAATATCAAAACAATTTACTTGAAAAAGTCAATTGAAAAGTAACCAGGCCGTAGAACGCGGGGGAGGGGGGGGGGGCAAGGGGCCGCCCCTCACTTTTTCTGAACATAATATTTTGCTATGGTAATTTTTTTATATGCTTGTTGTCCCTCCCCCCTCCCCTTCTTTTTGTTGTTGTAAGGTCGAGCTCTGGCAAATTACAGGATTTGGACTGGTAAATAGGGTTTGTTTTGTTTTTTGCTTGTCATTTTTTTTTGGAAGTTGCCACCACCTCCTGGTATTGGCGTTCAATCCTTCATCATTTATGACACAGCTTTAACCTTTGGACCTTTGGACAACCATGCTTTAGGGCTGATCTAAGACATGGATTGGTGTTAACTTTTTTTTCAAATAATTGCTGCAGTACAGAAATGTTTCCAAAACATGGTTATCGTCAGTATTTTAGCATTATATTTCCCATGAGTTAAATGAGGGAAATCCCCTATTACTCTTTTTTCGAATCATTGCTTCTATATATGTATACCAGGTCCTCCTTAAGAATGTCATTAGTAATTATAGTCTTTATACAAAAAAGCAAAGGGTTTCCGCATTGCAATTCTATAACCACTATCAAAATGTTTAGTAGAATAACCTTTCGCTGTATTCAAAATGACCATGTCCATCCAATGAAAAAAGACTGTCTCCTTTCTGTTGATACAATACAATGAGGTTTACCGTCAATGTCTGGTAAAGGAAGTGCACTGGTTGACATACGAGATAATGTGCAAATTAGTCAAAGTTTCAACCATTTTTAACAAAAACACATCGAATCCCCTTGATACAATTTGAGGCGTTTGCTTTCACAGTGATTCGGGGATCATGATATCGAAAATGTTAATTCATAATTTTTTTTAGTTCTTTTGTCAAAGATTGATATCATATTGTTTCATTACTTACTTATGTCGTAAAAAAAGCATTGCTTGAAATCTAAATATACTATACTTAGCTAATTAACACACAAAGCATATTGCTATGTCGGCCTCGAAGCATCTGATGGTATTGAGTTATGACGGGAATAGATTTCCTTTTTTAAACCATTACATAATTCAAAAAGAAAAAAAGGGAGATGTTTAAATAAGTAGAAATTATAATAAGTAAATTTCTCCCCTATCTGGCCGCTGTTATCGCGTTGAATACCCTGCAGATTACTTTTTGAATAAATTTTAAAAAATAGTAATATTTCTTCGATTTTATTGAGGGGATCAGTAATGCATACCAGTAGCGGATCCAGGATTCTTGAGGGGGGACCAGTTGCTGGTCGGGATGGGGGCACAGAGGCCACATAAAAAATTGATTTATTAAATCTTATATATATTCTTGGAAACAATAAGAGAGGCCCGGGCCCCCTGGCCCCCCTCTAAATCCGCCAGTGCATACGCTGACATCAGCTTGCTTTGTTTTGTTTTGTGTTGTTGTTGTTGTTTTGTTTTGTTTTTTTGTTTTTTTTGAAGAAAAAAAATTAAATTGGTGAAATATAAATTGAAACACGTCTTTACAATTTTCCCTGCAATTTCCAACTAAAGACATGCATCAGATGAAAAAAAATTCTTCTTCAAAGACTTGTTTCACGGGATTATGATTCATGTGCAACAAGTGCGACATTTTTTAAGTGTTTTATGGATAAGTGATAATAAGGTAGTGCCCAAAATGCAAATTGTTTCCGAGACTTTAAAAATTGAATTTATAAAAAAAGAATATGATTCCGTAATAAAATAATAATGATTGATAATTATAAACTAAAATAATTTACGTGATGTGACAATGATTTGAATGCAAATGTTCAGATTTACTGATTAGAATTCACAATGCATGATCTCGGGGGAAGTGAAGCGTTCATTCCAATCAAAATTAACGCCTATGGTTAATGATTATAACGATCTGTATTTCGTTATGAGGAGTGTACCTGCTTGGACGTTATAAGTCTGTTTTGTTAAACTTTATCTCATTAGCTTTGGGTAAGTGATTTTTTTTTTATTATTCTGAAAACAATATACCAAAGAATACTTCCAGCTTTTCCAAAAAAAAAAAATTGTTCGTTGTTATTTTACAATTTTTTGATTTTGTATTTCATGAATATTTCATTTCTATCATTACCCCCTAGTTATATATTATCATAGAATATAGAAAGAGCTTATAGAGACAGTGTGTATTGCCAAATACTAGTTAATATGCTTATTATATAGATAGATAGATTAGATAGATAGATAGATAGGATTAATGTCCAAATAACTGTATCTCTCTTCCATTCTCAATGACCGTGTAGTGTAGGACGGCGACGCGAGAATTCCATCGACATCGAAAGCAAGTTTTTTTTAACTTGCCTAGATGGCTGTACCTATACTGCTAGGAGACAGATTCCGTAGGTCGAGAGTTCTACCCCGGGTTGGGGCGGAAGTGGGTATCCATATATAAGTGAACTTCTTTGTGCTCCTATATATATATATATATATATATATATATATATATATATATATATATATATAACAATGCTGTACATCTATTTTATGAATCCTATAGACAAAAAAAAATTCATTACACTATAGTTATGCATAGCTATACCAAACTTCTATCATAACATCATTGCAAGAAGTTAATTTGTGCTTGCTTTTCTCATTAATTAAACATGGCATGTATAATTAAAAGTTAAGGTCAAAACGATTTATTTAATCGGTAAAACTTGTTATTACATAAATTTGTTAAACTTGATTCTGAAATAAGATTATTTTGCTTATTTTATATGTCCTTTTTTGTTTCAGACAGGATGTTGCTTGAAATTCTCCTCGTAATTCCAGGACTGTTTCATCTTACTTCAGGTGAATATTTGAATTACCTGCTTTATAATCACTCTTTAATTATTTGTTTTCATTTTATTACTTGTATGTAAGAGACAAGAAGATCCTCTCAATTTAATAATCAAATTGTAAGAAATTTGACCCGTGCTTATCACCTGGATTTACACAAAGAAAAGGTTCCGAACTGTAATTCACTGAATTATTTATTTATTTTTTTTTTTTTTTAATTTATGTAACAATATACATATTCTTTCTGATGTATTTTTGTAACGAATGACTGTAAGTTGAACAACCTAATTTGTATTCTAATGATGCAATGCAATTTAAACTACATGTAGCAATGTTTCTATAATTATATATGCTTCATCACGTATGTTATCAAAATAACCACGATTAAGGAAATTAAAAAACTTCATTAATTTAAAATACTTAATATTCTTTATTCAATATAAAGCTTTTGGAGAAACAATTTTTTTTAATCTTCATATATACACAAATTATCGAATACTGAACATTGTAGGCCAAGGTGAAAGGACGTCTTTACAGTCTGCAACCCCTGATCCACTGGAAGAGTTATTTGGCATAGGACTTGACAAAAACATTGATCCATGGTCCAGCAATTTAATCTTCGGAGACATCAAACAAAACGAATTTTCTAACTCCGTAGTCACCACTCCCCCACCACTCCCTAGTAACAACAACCAGGAAAGATCCAGGCAAGAATCGTTACCATCAGGATTATCCTTCCTGAACGGAGGCGGATCACTTCCGGGGTTTCCTGTGCTAGACACAATTCCACCCGTTGATCAGGCCAGCACTGGTGAAAATGGATTATTTAACATTCCACCTATGCCTAATTTCGATCAACTTGGACTCGAAAATGTTCTTGATAAATTTCTTCCCATTGATGGTTCTATTAGACTTCCGCCTCCATCCGATAATCCTATTATTCATTCTAGGGAAAATTCGCCAATTCCCTCAATTGACCAGCTTGGAATTGATGGTAATGGACTATTTGGTGAAAGTCTATTTTCTCCCAGTGCTGGAAGTTTATCAAACACACCAGCGACTTCATCTGGATCAATTAACAATCTTTTAACTAACAACAATAACAACAACAACCAAATGGGTTTAGTTGACATTCCATCGGAAAGCACTTCATTAAATCAAGGTAACTTGGGACAGAATTTGGCTTCCTCGCCATCCGAAAGGAGTACAGAACAAAAAGCGATCGATCAAAGGATCTGGGATGGAATATTACCACCTCTACCAAAAGATCCAGTAGAGATATTCCCTACCAACAAGCCAACTCCAAAACCCAAAACTAGCGAGAAGAATCCAAAGAAGAAAAAGTTTTTATTACCTCTTCTGCCGCCATCACCAACTAGAAAATCTACAAAGAACAAAGCCAAACAAATTTCAAGTGACCGTTTATTGGATACTATTCCTAGAGTCAATCAATTAATTACAACTACTACATCAAGGCCAATAAACATTAATAACAAAAATCTGTTGGAAAATATTCCTTCAATCGATCAGCTAGGAATTATTGGCAGCAGTAGCCCAACTAAGAACACAATGTTGTCTGATAATAATCAAAAGACTCAAGATAAGGTTACAGAACAGACATCAATCATTGGAGACATTTTTCAATTTCCTGATCAATTTAATGGAGGTAACCGACAATCCTCATCTTTAACCAAAGATAAACCTAAAGACTCAATGCGCCCTTCTCAAACACAAGCAAGTGATTCATTTTCTACAGACTCGGAGAAAAATGCTACCACTTTAGAAGAAATCTGGAAAAATATATTGATTGAAATACCTGAGTTGGGAAAACTTACTGGAGAAGAAGCTCCAAAAGAGAGGCCTAAAAGCATTGATGAACTTCTAGGATTTTCGGTACATGATATTGAGTCATTCAATGCTAATCAAACCAATACATTGCAACCGGACAAAACCAAACCTAAGGTGATTCCACAAAATACAACCCCCAAACCTTTTCTTCCTGTCATTTTACGTACCACATCTCCAACGGTCTATGTACCACCAACCACGCTATCCCCCAGGATTTTCATAACTCCATCAATAACACCACTCCCACCCCTGAAGGTAAATATCCCACTTACCACTACTTTATCAGCAACTCCACCACCGCTTCCACCACTAAATGTGTATACACCACCTACCACACTTCCGCCACCACAACCACCAACGACATCGACGCCAGAACCACCGATTACCACGGAAAAGGACATTTATTCACTACCTACAAACCCAACAATGCCGCCAAAAGTCTATGTCCCGCCTACATTGGCTTCACCAGAAAAAATAGCTACGCCACAGAAACATATAACAATTGACTTTAAAAAGAAGGACCAGAATACGTTTGAATCGCCTGGTTCTAATATCAAAGATGAAGGTGCACCGCCTCCCCTGTCTGGCGAATTACTTCCTACATTAGACCTTCCTCAATTTACCGATTTTTCTAAAACAGTATCAACGACGAAGAATCCTCCCTTAGAATTGCCCTCTGAATTAGCATCAACGTTTACAACACCCTTTTCAATAAATAATTTTGTTCCAACTATTCCAGATGAAAAATTTAAACAACCTGATATCATAGATGTGGGAATATTTAATAATAACAACGAAAGGAATCCGTTCACAGAAACCATTTCTGAAGAACCCTGGCTTCCGCAAGTAAAACAAAACATCCCTGGAAGTTCCACTGGTGAACAAGCAACGCAAAAACAATCGCAAGTGTTTGGCTGGGATGCTTTATTTCCAGACAACCAGGAAACAGTGCTTGAAAATCCTTCAAATGAAAAACAAAATCAAAGGACCGTCGATATCTTTTCAAAAACAAAGGAGAAATTTCAGCAAGTTAAATTTGCAGATGGAAAAGATACTACTAGTAATTCGCAATCAGTTATTGAATCGTATTTACCAACCACAACAGAGGAATCACCATTGCCGGGACTAGAAATGCTTTTGGGAAAAAATGAAGTTATGCCAACAACGACTAGCATACCGGAATTGCCACCGTTAAACTTTGATTTGCTAGACAGTATGACCAAAGATGGTATGAACCAAGAAGAAGCCAGGACAACTGTTAACGGAGAGCGAGGTAAAATAATAATTAAGAATCAGAATATCAAAGATTTTCCTCCGCTTGATATTGACATTTTGCAAGGATTTCAAGACATTAAGGAAACAGTTACTACTCCTCCCCCACCTAATCCAACACTTCCTTCTCTTCCTTTCTTTGGGGATCTAAACACATTGAATACAGATAGACAAGAGCCGTGGGATATCACTTCGAGGGATGAAACATTTAATAGTAGAGATACGAGATTATTTAGTACCTTACCACCCGCTACTCCGAACGAAGACCCACTTCAACGTAATATTGAATCTAATCCACTACATACAGTCCACGCTTCTGAAAACTCTAGAACAAATTCAAGATCACGAGAACGGACAAACGAACTTCCATTCATTGGACCTACCTCAGAGGCTTCGAAACATTTCGATTTTGAACCTCATAATGGTGGAAACATTCGACCACATCCCTTACCTTTAAGCCATTCTACAACTCTAAGAACACCTATTACTAATGAAAAACCAACTAAACCAAATATTTTGGTAATAGACATTGTGAATAAACCATCAGACGAAATAGACACTACTACAAGACAAAGTAGACCTGTTTTCCAAAATGCAAACAATTTAGCAAATATTCGTCAAGTTTCAAATTTAAACAATAATGGAATAATTCCACAAGGAACTGGACAGACGCTTGAAACTAACCGTTTGAATTCACAAGTCTTGCAGCAAGTTACACCAACACCACAAAGGGGGACTACTCCAGCTTGGTTGATGTCGACACTTTTTGCAATCAGAGCCCGTCTTAATCAATTGAGAGCTCTGAGGAACAACAGGCAAAACAACGGAAACAACAATAGTCAGAATCCAGTTATAAATAGACCCACAAATCAGAACTCAAATCAAAGACATCCAGTTATAAATAGACTCACAAATCAGAACACAAATCAAAGACAGATATTTTCTTTGCCATCTCAATTAGATTTAAACAATCAAAGAAACAATGGACAACTGATCCAAAATCAGCCTCAACTTCAAAATGGAAATTTGCGCAATGTTAATATACAACGACCAGTAGCAAATGGGGTTTTATTTCAAGGGAATCTCAACAATTTACCATTTTCAAATAGAGGTTTATCCCAGAGTCAACCTCTTGCAAACTTTCAAAATATGTTGTCTCGAAATTCTCAACAGCAGAGGAGAACACCGCTTCAGATTCCAAGTATTCCAAATCGATCTAACCAACCAAATTTACAAATTAGACAGTCTGTCTTCCAGCCTTCTGTACAACAAACGCAGTCATCTGGAATACAAAACACACAAACGCAACAGAGCGGAGCCACAGAGGCAGAAACAGACCTCCTCCGAGAACGAATCCGCCAACGCATTCAGCAAGTTCTTCGAACACAGATTCTTCGCCAACTACTGGCTCGCCGTTTACAAGCACTTCGAAGCCAATCAAATAATAATGCACAACAGTCTACAAATCAGCCTATTAGGCGGATTCCAACATCAACCAATAACATGAATATAATGAATGCCAACAATGCCATAAATATTATACGTCAAGCCAGACAACGCGCGTTAGCAGCATCGCAACAACAGCAGCAACAACAACAACAATGGCCGAATCAACAGTTTAATAATATTTTCAGAAGATTTTCAAATAGGAATTTACAAACTGTAGGGTTTGCGCCAAATTCCTTTGGACGTCAGCAGACAGCACAGCCTTTAGATCTTTCAAGACTTTTTCGAAACAACAGAGGGTTAAATTTAAACAATCGTTTCGGTCAGTCAATCCAACAAATGGTGTCAAACGAAACGAATGGAAATAGAATGAACAGGGATCAACGCCTTGACTTATCACAACCACCCTCAGAGAGAGCTCTTCAGACATTAAGAAATTTTAATCTTCAAAGAACACGTGGTGTTCATCAAGGTACTACTTCTAATGTTAGAACTAATCAAAATCTAGTTGTGGAAAGAAGAGCAATTCCTATTTCGGAGGCTTTTCAACTAACAGAACGTTTGCGTGCACAAAACAGAGACATTGCACCATTTAGGAACTTTAATCCCAATAATATTCCACAATCTGTAATGGAACGATTAAGAAATGGTTTACGTAGATTTCAACCAGTGCAGAATGTTCTTCACACACAATTTAATAGACAAAGAATTATAGTCCCAATAAATGGGCCACTTCTGGGCCAAAGAAACAATTTCAATGTTTCTCGAAGACCAAACCTAGGTCAAACCAGCCCCCCACCTCAATTTAGCGGACCCCAAGAGGGCTGGCCGTGGGTGGCACAACAAAACAGTGATAAATGATCAAGGTAATCTTCATCTATCATTTGTATATGGGGTCTTTTCGTAAATCTATTATTTACTTAACAAGATAGTTTGTGAAAAATTGTGGGATCTTTTTTTTTGGTTATTTTTCCGAATGGAATAATTCAGATGCTTTTAATGTAGGATCTCGAAATTAAAACAATAATTTAAAACGTAGAAGAATAAACGCATAAATCAATGGAAATTAATAATTTTGAGAATACTTCAAGAGTGTATGTGCAGAAAATACAATCGACACCTCAACATTAGCATTTCACTAAATATTTGCTATAATAAGGAAATAAATTGCATCCACTATACATTTTAATTTTGAGCTATTAATTAATGTACATAATTGTACCTTCTATTTAAATGATTCTTGGTTGTCTTTTGCATAAGGATATCAGTCGTTTTCGCGCATTAAGTCCACTGATATTTTATCGATACTGAATGCGTTTATATAATAACTCCAGGCCTGAAGACATGGAAACATGGTTTTAACAGAATAGAACAATGAATTGATTGTGTGAATAGCCTTTTCATTTGTAATGTTTGAACCAAAGTTAGACAAAATATGTTCAACAATCCATCAATCAGTGACTTTTCATGCCTTTCATATATTTGAATAATATACTATGTATTAGCCAATCTAGGTTAAAATTAATTATCTTTTACTTTGATTCGAAATCTTAAAACATGAAATGTCAATCAAAGTTTACCACAACAGTTCTGTATTAGTTATGTCAATCTTGTGCAAGACAAAGCTAATAGAATACTGATTTCAACAACCATAGCTTCTGGGGATTACCCTCCCCCCCCCCCCCAAAAAAAAAAAAAATTACTTTCTTTATTTTAACATGAGAATATTATTTATTTATCACCAGAATATATTTTGAACAAATATATTTTTTTTCCAGGTTTTTCGTGGCAAAACGAACAGCTTTAAATCCTCCAATGTGATCTAAAAAATGGACAGCTTCAAGGTCCCCTCAAGGTTTCATTTGATGCCGTCCATCCTATTGAATACAATTGTACAAGTCTCTCAAGTTGTCGCTTCATGATGAAATCCATATTTACTGCAGTGGCGTACTCAAAGGGAAGTAAGCAAGAAAAATGAAGCTCTCTCTGAGCCTAGGTCATGTCCCATCTAGGCAAATGTTTCCCCAGCAATTTAGGTCTGGGGAATAAGTGTTCGAAACAGCGAAATAGAACGCCACACGTTGGTGTTGTGAGAGTGTGTTTTATTTTCAATGCTTATAATATTTTAGTTCAAGTTGTTATAAACTTAATACATTGACACTTTTTCGGATTTGTATGCATGGCGTGTATTTACATGTAAGTGAGATAAAAAGGGCAATGTAATTACTGTAAATATTAGTGTTCTAATTTATATTTTGATGTAATTTTTCTGTTTTCAATTGAATAAAAAACTCAAATAATATTTTTTTGAGTTCCTAATATGTAATGACGACTTCACTTCATTGCATTTTCCATATATTGTATATCCATATAATGCTCGCGAATAATTGAAACGAGGTCGGAATTCATCCTGTTTGTCATAAATTTAATTTATGCTTGCTGGTCATTAACTTCTATAGTCAGTATAACATTCAAATCTGACATAGATGCAGGCCCATAGGAAGCAATTTCAGTTTGGGGGGGGGGGGGCACAGCCATACATTTTCAGTTGAGGAGGCACTATCAACTACCAAAAACTTCTTGACAATCAAAAAACAAAAAAAAAGTCATCAGACGTTTTTTTTTGGAGGGGGCACAAGCATATAGTATCTATGTTTTCTATAGTAATCTATATATCGACAAAATTATTGGGGGCCACAGCCCCCCGTGCCCCTTCCCCGGTTCCTACGGCCATGAGATGTGGCAAACTCTGTGGTGTCTTTTATTTCGAGTTCACTGGGATATATGAAATATATGGAGATAACGAACAGTGTTCAAGCTCAAAAGTCCATTAAACAATACAAAATAGGAGCAGAGCAAACATGGTCCACCAAAACATCAGAGGTGGGATCAGGTGCCTTGGAGGAGTGAGCATCCCCTGCCGACCGGTCACACCCGCTGTGTGCTCCTTGTCATGATCAGGAAATAACGGAAAAATCCGTCGAAAATTCAGTGTGTAAATGATGGCCTAACAATTAGTATGAAAAACGTCAGTCAGCATTTGACTTAAACATAAACTGTATTTGCTGACAAGGTCATTGCATCGACCATAGAACATACGAAATGATGACTTTAAACGAGACTGCTGATATTCTTGTTTCATCAAATTGTTTGTCAATAATTTACCTCGTTTTAGAAATTGTACATACGTAGAGCATGCTCTTGCGTATCGAATCAACTGAGAGATATAAACCCCGTATGCGGGTGATGAAGGTATATTGCTGCACAAGTAAGGGTAGTTGACGATTGAAAAGTTAAAGTCATCACGTTTATCATAAACCTTGGTTGTTAGATAACCATTAACGTCTTTTTCAAGTAAAATATCCAAATATGAAACAGATGTGTCAGACTATGTGGTATATTTTATCTCAAGCTCACCGGGATATATCGTATCGACATAAGAATGGAAATAACCATTGTTAATTGACAATACGTCGTCGATATATCTAAATGTCGAGTTGAAGGCCACAACAAGTGCTTTCTTTTCACGTATAAGATTTTGGACAAATTCTGTTTCATATGAAAAATTATGAATACAAAAAAGGGTCTGCTAATAACGGGGCGCAATTGGTACCCATGGGAATTCCAATAGATTGTTGGAAGACCTATAATATAAGTCGACATATAAATGAACATTACTATTTTTAATTTTAAAAAAACGTCTCAATGTAGCTTAATCTCGAAATTGAAATCGAAATTGAAATTCACAAGAAGAGTTTTCTTTTTCTCACGTGGATTTAAAAAAACCTGATTCATAAGAATATGAAAACAGATCAGCTAACGAAGAAGCATAGCAGATGCCTATCTAACAAAATTTTATCCGGCTTTATAGGTATCACTTAATTGTTCTCCTTGTAAAAATATTTCTGTTTTTTTTTTTTCCCGTATCGCTTCAATGTTCAGAAGATTGATGATGTAGCCGTATTGACTTGCTGAGAGCAATTCAAGATTCGGAAAGAACTAGTGTTGTACGGAATTACGTCGAGGAAGGGATGGTGTTATCATAAAGGAATATAAACCAATAAAACAAGTTTTCAATTTTCTTGAAAACATAAAAAAATTCAATCAAATTTAGTTTTCATTGAAACCCCCCTCTCTTTCTCTCTCTACCTCTCTCTCTCCAAAGAAATCAAACTGTTCTACAAATTTCTGTATTCTCAAATTCTACACCGTCATTTTAAATTAGAGCGAGGACTCGTCATTTAAGTAGGGTACATATTGGGGGGGGGGGGGCTTGTCAAATTAATAATTCAATTTTTGCCTTCATTCTTTTACGCATTTCTCATGTGATCATATTGAATGTTAACAAATTATATTTCTAATTTAAATCTTGTGTTAATTTTAAAACACATACACAATGTAGTTGTGGAGTACAGGAAATTAAACAAATTCATGTTCATCAAAACTATCATTTTTCCCTTGATGTTGACGCTTTCTCCGGTATATTTATACATGTACATGTATGAAGAACTTCTGCCAAACTCTTGCAACTGATCCAAAATCAGACATAATCTTGTTTTATACTGAACAATATTTAAACTTAATCGTTGGTCAAAAATGAAAAAGAGTATGCAAGATGAATACATTGTTTTCATGTTGAATTGAAAACGTTTTACCTTTAACCCAGACAGTTTTCTCTTCAATTTCCCCAGCATATTTCGTCATCGAATCATTCGTTTTGCCATCACATTCATCTTAATTATGCTTAAAATTAAGTCGAAAGTGATTTGATGTAAAGTGACTTGATATATGGAAAGAGTTATTACTATTGCTCACAGCTATTGGGCAATGTATTGTGTACGTGTGATCCTTAGAGAACAAATTCCTAGACACCAATGACGTAAAGGGAAGTTTACAAATATCATGTGCATTTCTCGATAAAAGCGTTATTATCACTAATTAAAAAGAGTATTTTAATGCCACCACTAGAAATTACGTAATAATTCACTTTTTTCAACAAGTGTCTGTACTTATCTATTAAACTTCTTAAACATGCATTCATGGATCTTGCATATTTCTAGGAATGAAATTAGTATAATTATATTAAGTTTTAATTAGCTGACCGTTAGCAGGAGGGTTAGACTATATTTTCCTCTAAACATTTAGGTTTAACTGCTTTAAAAGGCGTAAAGGTTTCTGTACAAGCTGGAAACAGTTTATTATCTTTATAAACTGTTTTGGTCGTCAAACATAAATGCAAAATTGTCACAATGGAAGATTAGATTAACCAGGAAAATCACAAAATTGTCACAATGGAAGAGAAAATCAAATTCATCTCAGAATGGAAATGACCGTTCCTCATGTAGACAGAGTTGTCTTTCTTTCCGCTAACTTCAACGTTCAATGCTTGTAGTCGTACACTTTTAAAAAGATGGAACTTTTTTTACGTACTCATGTGTACTGTCATTGCACAGGTTAATTCTGGTTTTATATATAATTTCTAGCGTAAAATAAATCATCAATAATAAATGTCGTTTTATAAATAATTACTACATGTAGAAACCGATATTGTCATCAAACGGAATCGATAAACATCTAAAAATTTGTCGAAAACTACCTGTTTTCAATTAAATTAGTGAAGAAGGGAAAAAAGTATATTTAGCGGCTGCCATAAATTTCTCGAAAAATAATTTTTAATATTATTTACTGGCGCAGAAATATTCGATTTAAGGTACACATAAGAACGATAAAAATAAATACGGATCCTCAAAAATATCTTTGATATGTAGTGGATAGTACATGTGTACGTTACAAAGAAAATTACTTGTAATGTGCAAAAATTCAAATAACCTTCGAAAAAATGGTATTGTTGACCTTGAACTCAAATTTTCCTTTTCGTTCAGAAATTTGAAAAGGTAGGGGAAAAAAGACGGTGAACAATTTATACATGTAAAGGTACATGTACATATATATCTGGAAATAAATGTGATGTGTGTCATTTTCATGGAGGAAAAAAATCAACAACCCCCGAGAAATTATGAGTTATTGCCTGTGTAATTATACTGACATTTTCTACAAATTGACACCAATCTACTGAATCTAGAGTATTTTCCTCTTTGTCGGGAACAAATGAAACAAAGACGATAACAAGGAAACATTTACAATTTTATCAAATCCAAGAACACTTAGTCTTATATAAAGGGGATTCCAAATTATCATCAATTAAACGATGGGAAAATATCAAGAGACTATAAGTTTAGAAAAAAGGACAATATCCGTTTACTTTCCATTTAAAGTTCCCCGTGAAAAGAATATTTATTTCTTCCCCCTTGCGTCGATGATTAGGACTTCGTTGTCTTTTAGATTTTGTATTAAAACCACAGTGGTTTCTGAAAGAATTATTCTTTTCTCAAAAAAAAAAAAAAATAAATAAATCTACGTCGTTTGGTTGAAACGTTATCAAATTTGATGCTCGAGATGGAAAGCGATGGGGAAATAAGTCTGTTAACTTGATATAATTAGTAATCTTGATTTCAAAATATTGGGTATTCTTTAAAGAAGAGATTTTAATTTCTTACAAAGGCATTTAAATTCAATATATCCAGTTCTTTATGACTTTATACCTTTTCTTGTAGCAGTAAAGAAACAAAACACGAACTAGATTTCACGAAAAAAAAAAACTTTCCCCGAATTTATAATGTGTAAACGATCTTTCGGAACTTAAAAATTCGCAAAAGTGATGAAATTTTCCAGCTGTAAATGGATTTTATATGACTGTTAAATGTAAATTTAGTTTTAATGCAAAAGGACACATATATTTTGTACATCTTAATTCTATGTTTTGTTCCTGTCGCCATTGCCCCACCCATCCACTTATTCATGCTGGGAAATTTCATAATTTATTATCATTATTATAATTATTTGTTAAATGCCAGATAACTCTCGCTTTATTTTATGTCAAAACGTTTCTTTTGACACTGCTTTGTTTGCAATATGAAATGTTTTTAATGAACAAATAATTGAAATTTCATCGTACAAAAATGAAAATAATAAGAGGAAATTCGGGTTGAATATAAATTCATTAAAATTGTAATATCCATTATTGTAATAAATAAATCTTTTAATAAAATACATGACTAAGAAGATTGGTAAGATATTTGAAGTTACATGGATATTTCCTGTATAGAATAGGCAAGGGAAGTTAAAGTTCTCAATTTCGTTTTTCTGTTCTAATCCAGCGAACTCCCCACCAACCCCCACTATTTCCTATATATACATCATACATGTATATACCACGAAACCATTGAACTCCCCCACCCGTGG